CCTGGTATTTTGTACCCAGAGATCTGGCACTCCAGCCATTCTATCTATCCCACTAACATAAGGTGCTGTTGAAAACAAGTTCTTTCTTAATCCAAATCCGTGGTTGGTTGCCTCACAACAAAGTTCCTCACCCTACAAAGGGAATACACATAATTAGATTATTGCTTTGGTTACTTTTCAATCACAAAAGCAATTATTACATCTTTGTGAAAAAATGGTGTTCAACAAGCCTTATGCAGAATATGGATGCTAGGTGCACCATCACATAATTGGGTCTAGATAGACCAGCTTGAGCAGGGGGATTGGACCAGGTAGCCTCTTGAGGTGCCTTCCAACCCCAACCATTGTGAGTGTCAGTGATTTTGTTGGGTGAAGTTGTAGTTATAACCACAGTCTAGCTTTGACAACACCTGATTTTTAGTAACTGCTCCAAAAAGGGCTTACGTTCAGTCAATTCTATGGCTTTCTCTATTCATTAAGCATTAAGAAGTGTATTTATTACTCACATGCTTGCCATTATGGGAATTATCATTTGAAACATGCAGTGGAAAAACACATTTTACATGTCCAATACTGTTACCCATGTTGGGTATATTCAGATATCCACATTTGAGACTGTAAGACAAAATCAAGTTTTGAATCAAGCTTTGATATTTTAGTGCTGGTTGTTCTGCAATGCAGCTGTAATTGTAAGCATAGCTTTACCCTGAAATTGTGTAATGAATTCTCTTATGCTTTTTGGGGTTTTTGATCCAGATGAATCAACAACACCTGAACCGGAACTGGAAGAAACCGGACTCCTATTGTCTTGTGCATCAGCAACAAAACTCTCATGTTCTGAATGTGCAAATCCAAAACTTACATCCCAGTTTTAGAGCAAGGAGAAGATTTCGTGGCAAATCCAAGGGCCTCCCTGAGCCATTGTACATCCTCTTTCCTCTCAGTACTGCTAGGATTTGTCATTAACCCCATCCATCTCCTGTCTACTGGATGATGAATAGATCCATCCAGTGCATACTGCTTAAATTCATCCAGTCATCTAGTTAGAGATGAAATGACACAATACACACACACAGTGCTCTCTGCAATTTTAATCTACTTAACCCAATTACATAGTAAGAGATAATGCTGTACATACAAGTGCTGAGTCTGCAATGGTGGAATGAGGCAAGTGGCAAATCAAAAAGCAGCACTTTTTTCCTGATAGCTTTGATCAGTTGTCAAGTCCTCAAGCAGGGAGACAATACTGGTGCCATTATTCCTTCTTTGCTCTTCCTTTTTCTTTTGGGGGTCATGACTGCCTTTTATTACTTATCTTCTTTGCATTTTCACTATACAGGGGATATTTTGTCTGTTTTGGCTGTATATTGTTTGTCCTCTTTCTTATGTCTTCTTAAAGTTGCATCACCTTAGGATCGGTAACTTTGTGACCTGTTTTTATGCTCTTGTGGACCACTGGCATTATCTTGTGCTCGTACACTCTTTCTCTGTGATCAACCTCTCTTTGTATTCTCCATGGCCAATGCACACATTGAGTTACTCTATTTCAGACATTTTCAGACTGGATCCCAAGATTACGGTACCATGTGAAACAAGTATTTCTGGTTTGGTACCTGCTATTCATTTTTCTATGAGATGTAATTGTAGCTCAATACAGCTCTTTTTCTTCCCCCAAAACTCAGCAACATCTATCCACTAGAAACCAGATGACAAAGAGAACTGAGTTGGAATGGGGAAAGATGTAATTGTATTATCCTTTGATTTCACAGCAGAGGTCAAATTTTGTAGCTTTCTACTTATAAATAATAATAATAATAATCATCATCTTATATGAGCAGGCTGTATGGATGCTTGTTTTCCACAACCTTCTGGAACTCTTGACAGGTTCATCCAAAGTGGCTGAAGGTCTGAAAGGTGGGTTGTTCCAACAAGATTCTCAGAAATAAGCAATGAAGAAAAAGGAAGTGTTCAATGTGTTCACCTCTTAGAAGCATCAGAAAATCCCCACAGCAAACAGTAAAACTACAGGAAAAAGGTTTCATCTGCTACCAAAATCCACTGATTTTTATCTTTAAAAAGGTTGTGGAGCTTTTATTTTTCACCCATCCTAAGGTCATCAAAATTTATACTTCCATGCAAAAACAAAAGGAAGCAGAATTGAAAGGCATCAAAACATTAATTATCCAACTGTGTGCTAAAAATGACACTACCTGTTGCCTGCTTTCCTGCTAGAGCTACACAGTTACACTAAATTTCACCAACTCGCTATGGAGGCCGCCCTGCTATCTCACAGGCAATGCCTGGGCACGGACATGTCGTTCAGTATCAGTTGTAGACATTTTAATGTTAAATCCAGAAAATGATCCACGTTCATCCCTACGGGCATATAACTGTTCAGTAACATCCAGAAGTAAAACATCTTTTCTATAGTTAGCTGGCATGATTAGGTATTTATAGCAAATAGGGGTATATTGGAAAAGAAGCTCCTATTTTTATACGCCATTTACCAGAGTAGAGATGATTAAATAGATTTCAGGGCTGAGAGGCTTTATTCCCTGATATGAAGTTGAATAATTTATTCTGGAATTGGAAAAATCAAGTCAGTGTACAGGAAAAATCTAAGATGATACTACAGTAGATCAGATGATGCCCAAGTGCAACTTTGGTTTATGTCTTTCTGATACATAAACTTTCTTTTCAGCACTCAATATATGAAGTGTTGGTATGAAATATCTTTTTTTTTTTTATCCTATATCCATTTCTAACTGCAACCGAAGAAAATGCATCAGTTCAACCCATCAGCCTAAGTTGATGGGTATGTTCTGCTTTTCTTCAGCGCACTTCAGGATAGACTGTTTATCTCTCATTAAACATCTGTGGAGAATCATAAAACCCATTAAAGCAGCTAAAAATCCCAAAATTCAATAGCACTATTTTGTTTCTAACTGCTGAGGTTTTTGCGTTATGTTTTTCACAATTAGGGATACGGCACTTTCAACGAATGTATCATGCACTTGACTATGTGCTGAGGGATATAATGGGCACTATCTGAATCTACAGTACCACTTAATGTATTTTAAGTGCAGTATTAGTGATTCAGCTACAAATGCAGCTTATTAATTCTCTGTCTTAAGGATGAAAACATGATCTAATCGACAAATATTCTTTGGGGCTTCTTGACTTGAATTTGCTTGCTCTAGCAATTTGCCTAGAAGCAAAAGCTGGTTTGAATAGGAAGTGTTTTCTTTCTGCAGGACCAAATCAAGTCTTCCTTTACAGAGAAACCATTTCAAGTCCATTAGCAAGGTAATGCAAGTGATTCAACTTGCTTTTTGCTTGAAGTTTCTCTTTGATTTTCTTTTTCTGTACCTGTGGCCTTAAAATTGGTAAAAAATCAAAACATATTTCTTTACTGTATAATTAATTGCCCAAATAAAAGGCCAAAAGACATTCAAGCACATGTATATCATTACACCATTTTGTAGATGAGTTAACAAGGTTTGATTTCCTATGCTTTTGTATTATAGAATCATTTAGGTTGGAAAAGACCTTTACTATCATTGAGTCCAATAATTAACCTGGCGCTGCTGACTCCACCACTAAAGCGTGTCCCTAAGCACCAGATCTACACATCTTTAAAATACCTTCAGTGATGGTGACTCAACCACTTCTCTGGGCAGCCCATTCCAGTGCCTGACAATCCTTTCAGGGAAGAAATTTTTGCTAATATCCAGTCTAAACCTCCCTTGGCACAACTTGGTGCCATTTTCTCTTATTATATTTCTTGTTACTTAGGAGAAGAGACTGAGAGCCACCTCACTCCATTCTCCTTTCAAGTAGCTGTAGAAAATGAGGACCCCTGAGCCTTCTCTTCTCCAGACTAAACAACTTCAGTTCCCTCAGCAGTTTCTCATCACACTTGTGCTCCAGACCCTTCACCAGCTTCACTGCCCCTCTCTGGACCAGCTCCAGCACCTCGATGTCTTTTTTCTGGTGAGGAGTTACTGAGGAGTACTTTTTACTGCTCAGTGACAATTTTCACTAAATTTAGAGGAGCTGAGTATTTGTTTTACCTTTCTTTTCTGTCAAATAGGGTGAAAATAGCAGAACTGGCATTCAAAAGCAGAGCCGAGATGAGAATAGGATAAGCCTTGTTTTCTCAGGAAACCAGACCAAAAAAAAACCCAATAAAAAACCAAAAGAAAACCAAAGAAACCTAGTCTTGCACATTGCAGTAATTTTTTAATATAATTCAGTGTATATTTGTTCTTTGATGCTGCCTGTTTCACTCATAGAGCAATCCAGCAGCTGAGGGAAAAAAATATAATGGAGTCTTTGGTTGCTAAGAAAGGTCTGGAAGGCAGGGAAGGGGAAGCTCATCCCATCACAACTCCTCAGCCTTATTTCATTCAACAGCTAAAAACTAGCCTTGATATTTTTAGGGGACCCTGAAAAAGACTGAACAGTTGAGAGCCCCTGCATGATGAAGAGCAAGAATGGTCTGGCTGATTTCTCCCAGCTCCTATGGTGTCACATCTGAGGTACTGTGTTCAGCATTATTCTCACAAAGCCTTCAAGAAGTGGCATTGTTATACCAGATCCAGAATCCAGGAGCTGTGCATTATGCTGGAAATTTCACTTCTGTATGATAAATTACAGCAATGTGTCTCACTCTCAGAATATATCATTGTTTTTTATTGCTGTACTTCATGAAAAAAAGAAAACACCAGAAGAATACATAGAGCTTTTTGGTATCTTCAGTTTAGTGAGAATAATCACAAATCTTGTTACAAGTGCTTTCTTCCTTCCTTCTCTCTCTTTCTACAGTAATATGTCCTCTTTCAATCTAGACTGTAAATTCTCTGAAGAGACGACAATGTCTGAATCCCATTCTGGTCTGAGACTAAGTAAACAATCCAGAAAGAATTTATATAGCAATATACTAACAGAAAATGCCACAGCAAGCACAGGTATGACAAAGTTATTGATAAGAAATGTAATAATATTTCCAACTTCAGCTATATTATATTTACACAGAGGGTCATGGAAACACCTCAAGCATAAACACTACATACAGAGGGACTATTTCAGAATGTTTCAAATTAAGAGAGGAACATCTTCATTATTTTCAAAATCAACATAACTATTCTTAGTCTCTGCAGTCTTCTCTGGTTGTAGCTTAATAGGTCCCAGTCCAATTCGTTCCTTTTCTTGGATTATCTTTGTTATATCAGGGAATGAATATTTACTAGGATCCACTTCTAATTTCTCAACTTGTCTGCCCCTGAAACAAGAGGGAAACAAACAGAAAGAACTTAATTTCAGATACAGCAGAACTGTTTTGTGTGCCTGTTTGGAAACCTGTTGGCTTCTGTGTGAGAGTTGTTACTGAGTCCAATTAAACCAGGATTAAAGGTATTGTAACTTGAAAAGTGATTGTTATTAAAAAATCTCAGTGTAAACACAGGAAGTACTACAAAATCTCAGAGATTTTAGACAAAAGAATCCTTATCTTACAAACATGAGAAGTTCATTTTTTAGCTAATTTGCTCTGTCTATATCAGAACATGGTGATTGCTGATATCACATTACTGAAGGTTGTCTTTGGATGTAAGACAGGGGTGTTTTAATCTAATTGGGTATTTTGTTCTTTTTTTCTTTCTGTTCCTTTTTTAACACAGTTCCTTCCCGCTAGCTGCCTATTCATTTCTATGTGACAGATTCATCTTTGAAAGCAGAAATGCTTTTATATAGTGAGAAAAAGTAATTATATGGAATTATTTGCTTTTATCTGCTAACTCTTCTATTTTAGCAATATGAATCCTCACCATGTTTGTAGTATGAACAAAACCCTAAATGAAAGTATAAGACAGGTCAGAGGTATAACATCATTTCCAGATTCTACTGCTATGAAGGGTTTTCTTTTAGACCACACTTAGAAACGTGTACAGGCCACTCATTAAGGCAAGCCTTCCACAGCACATGATGATCAAAGATATGAAATATACTTTCTGCCTTCCAGCATTTAAAGCCACTGCTTTTTTGTAGTAGAGGAGCTGAACAACGAAATGGAAAAATGTAGCCTGTTTTCAAGTAATTTGTAACTGTTTACCTGAAAAATGGCAAAGTGGAAATCTGGCTGTATAATAATGTTCTCATTTCTTCAAATTCCAACACTATTTGTGCACCTTCATATTAATTTACATTTCATACTGAGTGCTGCTTTGGGTCAAAGTTCCAAGCTCAGCATTATGAAAGACAGGGAGTCACTCTTCAAAGACGTGTGAAAACTCCATGTTTACCCAAGAGATCAGAAAGGTGCATTATTAGAACTCAAATCGACAAAAAAGTGGCAAAGTCACTGGATGAAAGGATGCATTTCTTTGATGACAACACAGGTAATGAAAATATGTAAATAACATCTATTTAAAGATTTTTAACTGAAAATACCCCATCTTCAGCTGTTAAAACAAAGGTTTGCAAAGCAGCTTCCAAATGCTGCCAGTGCTTCTCCATCCAGGCTCTGTGATATATGAGCAGACATCCAAGCCCGTATCTGTGTGCAGGATCTCTGTCCCAGAGAAGGAGAGATGCAGAGGGATTCCAGGGAGGTTTCATCCTCTCCTCCCATGCTACACTGAGAAAAGCATGACTAACAGAAGAAGCAGTCATCAGCCTAGCCACCTTATTCATCAGCCTTATGCCACTAGATTTTTCTTGTGTTATGGGAATTATTTGATCATTTTGCTGAGTGGCAAACAATTACATAAGCACCCTGCTTTAATAACCATAGAATTATACAATAGTTACATGGCACAAATGAAAACTACTCAGAGAATTTTATGGGTAACAAAGACAAATACGAGAAAACTCCTTTCTCTTTACCCTGAATGTTCTTCTATTTATAATACTACACAGTTTACTGAAGCAAAAGTGGATTCACTTTGTAGTAACATTTTATAAAATGTTCATCCCCAAAACATAAGAGACATTTTTGTTTCCTGTGTAATTTATGATATGTGCTGTGATCCGGAATCACTGCATCAGTGGCTTTTGAGGGAAATCACAAAAAATGCACACCCTGTCCATAATCTTACTCTAATCACTAATCTGAGGCACCTCAGAAAAAGCTAAAAAAGCATAAATATGAATTAGACTCATGTTAGAAAATATTTTCCTTAAAGTATTTTAATTAGTAGTGGTATTTTACAACTCTAAAATTGTACGAATTGCTAGTCATGAATATACAATAAACTGTGGAGTTTGACTAGATTTTTGCTTAGGAGCAGACTAAATTCAGTATATGAGAAATTAACTAACAGTGACCATTGACAGTAACAATCCACATCAGCATGAAAGGATTATACACATGTGTCATTCTCAAAATGTAATTTGCACATGTTATCTAGAAACATCTATTAGCAACAGACAATAGGAAAGACTGAATATCAGGCACAAGTGCTTTCTCTGCTGAGAATCTGCTCCTATTTTAGTGTCATCTGTGCAAAAAGAGGCTGGGTATTGATGACGTAAGACTAACCACCTGAAACGTCTGGGAAGAAAGAATGAGTTATAGGTCATCCAAACATCTTTTTATGTATAATTCTGCCTAGCAGAATAGAACTAATCATGTCGCTGAAACTCTTCAATGAGCAATGGTAAAATAACAGTGATGAAAACAATAACACTTCTTGAAGGACCAGCTACAGCACATCTCTGGAAATCTCAGTGTTCCCAAATATTTTCAATGTCAGGTTAAAAGGAAAAAAGAAGTTCACAGTTTTTGGCACTGTTACCTGCAGCTGAGTGTTCTCCACTCAAGGGAAAATTATGGCCTCAAGATTAGAGCTCCATACAAAAATAAATAACTCTGGATTAAATCCTTTCTTTTTTCCTGGCATTTTTTCCCCTTAGGAAGGCTATTTCTATCTCCACGTAGTTCAGTGATTCTTTTAACAAAGAAAATGAAAAAACTCCGCAATAAAGTCAGCCCTTCCATTTTGCATAACTATAGCAGGCTGCTGAACAATCTGGTGTGTGATTGAGCACATATCTGATAATTTGATATTTCTTGATAATTTACACTTTTGTTCACACAGTTCCTAATCCCCATATTTGCTATTTTAATGACTTGACAGTTACATTCCCCTGTTTCAGCTTCTGAATTTCAATAAAATTTAGATTACTAAAGCTTTCTCATATGCTTGATCCAGAATATGCAATTTTTGACATCTGATTGAAAGTTTCCTTTCTGGCATCAGGATTTCCAAAGATATTTACAAGTCACAGCCAACAGCTTTGGAGAGACACTTATTCCAGTCTTCTAGCATTGTGAATGAAATGGCAGAAAAGTCATTATCATATTAGAAAAAGTGCTAAAAAATCCTTTTCTTGAATAAGAAAATAGTTATTCCAGTAAATGGAATTATATCTTATTTGGGAGCTTCAAGAAAGTAAATCCTTAGTTATGTATGTTAAAAACTGACCATGAATGTGTGACACTTGCCATAGTCTGGCCTCAGCTTTTGAAAATACAGGATTAGAAAAATCTATTAGGTAATCTAAGTAAATAGTTATGATTTTATAAATACTTGGAATACTAATACATCTTTCATTGCATAAGAGGCCTTTCAAATCTCCCTACATAGATGTAGTCTGAAATGAAGCTATGACTGGAGTCTTCAGTCAGTGGATCATTGGGAAGATGGGAATACATGACTGGTAGACTTCAATTCTTTTTTCAAGGACTAAACTACAGTTAAGAAGAACTAACAAATCCTTGGTAAAGAATTCTGATTAAAGAAAGGCTGATGATATCTAGGCCATTCTGTTCTAAAAGGCAACTGCCTCTCACAAATAGGATTCGTCAGACTGAGAATGTATATATAATACTAGCAATTATGTTTCTCAAAGTTAGACAGAAAATCACAGTCACAGTGACATTTTTGATTTCACTCGTCCATCCTTTAGCTTCTTTTGCACAATCACTTCAAGATACTGAATTTTGAACTGGTCTTGTCTGTCAGCAAGAGATATGCTCTAACAAACACCTGCATAGGCAAACTGATCGTGAATTTCTCAGTCTGGCTATAGTATCATCTTATTTTCACTCCTTGATTAACCCAGAAAAATAAAAAGCACTGTTAAATTCGTCAAAGTTGAGTCCCTAATGTGCAAAAAATAGTGAAGCTTACAGTGAAAACACATTCCATTCTAACAAGGTGACAAGACTTTGTTTACAAAGTTACAGAGTGTTCCAAAGAGACTTTAAAGTACATCTCCTCCCTCAGCCTTTTGTCCTTGTAAGGTATGCACAACTGGAAATTACTTCAGATTGTAGTGATCAAGAGTTAACTGAACAGAATGTGTAAGAATACTTTTTTCCAGAAGGGCACGTTTCTGAAGTCTCCTCACCCTTATTACAGTTATGGATTGCTAGATGCCTTTGTGTGCAAAGTAATTTTTACTCACTTAAGAGACACCCCACCTTTTGTTCTCCTCATTTGTCAGATGATCAAGATGTATACCCTCTGCTTTGATCAGCTCCAGGCCTCTATGAGAACATAAATCAGTCTATACTTTAATGAGTAAAAACACCTTTTTAATGTTGCTTAGTTCTACCTAACTCCACTTTTGGGTCAAGAAATGAACTGATTACAACTTCTATAAGTCCTCCTTTCCCACACAATGTAACTTGCTTTGTAAAAATTCTCAATATCTTCATGACAGTTATCAAACTGGTAGCCAGAAAACCTGATACAGAAAGAGGTATCTTTCATGTATTTTTAGGTATCTTTCTTTGACTGAAGGAATTCAAATGCATGTATATTTACAATTAGAGACATTTTTTATTTTTCTTTTCTTTTTATTTTTAATGTTAAAGGAAGAATAGCCTAAACCCAAGGGTATGAGACAAGAATTATTGACTTCATCTTGAGATTTCCACTATGCCCTCAGAAAAGTCAGTTCCTGCCTACACCTGAATTTCACCTATGCAACTGTGATGAACTCAACTTCTGTACCTCAGAGACGAATTGTGAGGCCAGCTACAATAAAGAATGGCATACTCAGCAACTGCATAATGGAGGCTTTGCAAGTATAATAAATCAATCTGTCAAATTCCCCCCCATAGGAACTTGTCTCTTTGAAGGTTTGAAATACAATTTTTTATACAGCCACAGAAGAATTTCTCTCATGTGGCAGAAGTGATAATAGTATCATCATGTAATCTAGCTAACAAGAGTTAAAGAGATTTAAAGCACTGCATTATAGTTTAGCAGATTATACGTCTGATAGCATTTAGCTAAGACATCTGTAGCTGTCAAGTGCAATCACTGTAATGAATGTTCTTCTGTAATCTAAGAGACAACTATTCAGCAAATTTTGAACATCTGGATAGTCAGCTACTTTACAACTAAAAAGAGGTCAAAACTCACTATTTTTAGTACGAACTGTAATTCAAAGGACTTTTTTCCTATTTCTATTTTTGTGATATATATTCCTGTAATATTTTAACACTAAGACTTATATTTTTCCTTCAAAATCTGTGGTAAGCATATTCATAACTACATAAAACTGCATTGAAATCAAACAGAAATTCATGAAGTATCACCATGCCATGGATTATCTTTAGTTCATCACCTAGCAGGAAAAGAGACCATTTCACATTATTACTTCCATTACTTCTATACTCCCATTATTACTACTATTCAAACACTTACTGTGTAGCTAAAGCTAAAGGCACACTGACAGTTCAAAGGAAATTCATAATCCTAATCACAGGTTACCAACTCTGTTTTTTAGCAGAATCCATTTTGAAAACAAATTATGTTAGTTACTTAACAAAGAAAAATCTGATTTTCTCCTGGAAAATAAAAAAAAAAGCTAAGATTTATTTTTTAGAACCTATTTATTTTAATGTATCTAATGCTTTAGGTGTACTCTTATGGGAAAGAACTATTCCTTTTGCAAAGTAGATTCATTGAATAGGACTATAGAGCAGATTGGGTTGGAAGGGACCTTTATAGGTCACCTAGTCCAAGCCCCACCAGTCCCCCTCCTCAGGGCTTTTTGCAATCCTTTCATCCCCCAGCCTGTACTGATACTGGGGATTGCACCACCCTGTGTGCAGGACCTCGCGCTTGGCCTTCCTGAAACTCATGAGGTTCATATGGGACTACTTCTTTAGCTTGTCCAGGTCTTTCAAAATGACATCCTATCCCTCAGGTGTGTCACTGCTGCCTAAGGAAAGGATACAGTGCTTGGCTCGTGCTCATGAAGAATCTCAACAAACTTTTGCAGTCTCCCTGTCATTTTCCCATCATCTAGGTCATTCAAGAAAAGAACTCATGACTGATCTTTATTAAAAATAAGACACAGTAGCAGTATACTTGATATTGAGACCCATGATCCATAATGCTATTTTTTAGGTTTAGCCTATTCATCAAAACTCACACCAAAGAAATCAAACAAGACAAAAATTGCAACAGCTTAACAAACTTTGTTATTACCTTATCTTATTCTGATATGAATACCATTGCCTATAGCAAGAGGAAACGGAAGATTAAGAGATATATCTTCGTATTTGTACTTAGGCCCAGTCTATATCTACAGTGTTGGCTAATAACACTTGCTAAGAGTAAAAACAAAAAATAGTGTGTCACTGATATATGATTCTGGCAGCCATTAACTGTGAGACTTCAAGAGCAGAAGTTTACATCATATTTAAAAGGGTAGATATATGTTATAAAACCTTGCAGAACTCCTTTTCAAATGTACTTATTATTGCAGTATCTCAACCAGTAGATCAGTGAGAAGCAGTTCATGAGAGGGATTCATAATCATTGCTTTCTAAATGGCTTTCAGACTTGAGTTACACAGCAAGGAGCTCTGCAGATATAATTCTCAGCTGGTTATTTAGTTTTAATATACACCATCTTAGTAATCTGAATAAACTGATGGAACAAAACTGATAGGCAGAAATAAGTGTTTTTTTGGCTCTGCTGCTGGAGCAGATCGCTTTATAAACAGCACCAGGCAGGCTATTAGCTTTTAGACATAGTTTTACTCTGCACAAATCAATATTTTCATACTTTCAACAATAACATAATAAGAAGCATACATTCTGGCATGTGAGTAACACATGGAGAAAAAATGAAATAAAAATAATGCAGAAGAAAAAAGGAAATACCTTCTTGCATTTTTTTGCAGTGCACTGCAGTCAGAATGCTTAACTGGAGTTGCTACTTTTTGCTTAGGCAGGATTATTTCTTTAGCCTGAAATAAAAATAGAAGAATAATTCTAATGAAAGTTGATACTTATGCTCACAAGCATTTATATAATCTCTCAAAAATAGAAAAACTAAGATAGTCTGAATACATTTTCTCTTGTGACATTTACTTTTCTGTCAGATTTTAACACTCTTCACTCAGCATGAAACACATGCATAAGGCAATTTTAACCAAATCATCTGAATGGAATTATATTCAAATATATATATGAGTCTATATATAATTTTTTAAAATATATACATCTATTTGTATTTAAATATATGCTGTCTTGTTTAGTACCATGTTAACAATGCACATTACTAATTTTCTCCACAATAACTAACTGATCCATGATGTGCCTCTCACATTTCACTTCTGGTATTCATGTGCAAGTTCAGACATTTTAATCAAAAACTCAGCTGCAGTCTGGACACTTTAAAAAAAGGACAAGTGACCAGAAATGAACAAAGGACCAGGAATTCCCTCAGCTCCTTTGCTAAAACAGAATCTCAAGTTCAAAATCCAAGTGAATTCCCCTTCTCAAAGAAAACATGTCCATCACCATTTTTTGGAAGACGTGTTGTTGACAAAAGGGAATTTTATGGCAAAACCGTATCTCTTTCCCCTCTTTAACATCATAGCAGAGGGACCCCTTAAGCACTTGACAGGAAGGAGAACAGGAACTACTCCAAATAGTAAATTTTATTGACTATTTCTTACTGTAATTGATTTGAAAATAGTCTAGGTTAGAAGACCAGTGAAGTTAAAGTCTCTGTTCTGAAATATAAAAGAAATAGGACAGAGCCTGTAGCTTCTGTTGTTCATCTCTGAAATCCATTGGGAAGAAGCTGATCCCCTCTGATTCTGTGTTTACTCTGAGGGAAAGCCTATTTCTTTGGATCTTCCTTCTCTTCTCGGGAGGCCCTCTAGTGTTCTGTTCTTTTAACAATAATTCATTCCTCTGATCCCCTTGAGATTAATGTTTCTTACTTTGCCCTCAGAGCACACCAGCAAGGATGGTGAATAAATTTGCTGATTCCAAAACCAACAGAAAAGGTTTCCTTGACAAGAAGTGATCCTGGCACTTACGGAAGGGTTAGGATTTGCCTACTAAAAATTCTATTATCAGTTATCAAGTAGCTTAACATAGTTCTCCTGTGCAAAAGATGCCCTCTTACCCCTATTCAAGAAAAAAAATACAAATGATATTCTCTAATTATTCTTGTTTTTGAAACACAACTCCATATACAGCAATGGTATGTGAGCTTCACCACACCAGTAGCTGACTGACTGACATCCCTTAGTGATGGTGATGGTGATCAAGTGAGGACAGCTGCTCTGGAAAACAGAAATACCATAGTTTCAACTGTGGCCAAAACCAAGATTTTAGGCTTAGCAGAAAGATAGCTGTCTGAAATTTAAAGCCTGTGATATACAGGAAGATAGACTAAATTAATATAATGAAACTTCCTGAAAGCTATTCTATGCAACTCTTTCTAATATTTGTATTAATCAGAAAACAGAAAGAAGATCCCTTTTAACATCATTATCAGAAAATTCTAGAAATGGATGTGTTAAGTAGAATCTGGAATGAGTAAACAGAAGGAATAAAAAACCCTAGATTTTTAAGCTAAGTCAAGCTAAGCCACCTTTTCACTCTGCATCTTTTTTCAAAAGCAACTCTCTTCTACAACAGGAATTCCACTGAGCAATAGTTTCCCTGAAACACATTTATTCTGAAAGATGAATAGGTTTCTAGTGTTCCGCAGCTGTGTATCTCCACAAGTCTTTGATGGTAATGAAATATTACTGCATTTACCATACCTAGATAAGAGAAAATTACATAATGTAATTCTATCAAATAACCTTTCCACTGACATGCATAATATATACCACTCCTATTTTTAAATTAATTAAAGAATCTAGCTCTCATTGATCTCTAAATTTTTAAATGCTTTTGAAGGGCCAGGCAATAAAAAGCTGTCAGAATTCATTTGTGATTCCTTATATAACAAAAAATTAATCAAAAAGTCCAAAATTTTCTCTCTGATTCATTAAAATAAGGACAGTGAAGTTTTAAAACATGTCATGGAATGTTTCAGAGCCCTAAATGAAAACTGCTTGTTAATAACCGTGGGGTTTGATGCTTTCTCTCAGATGTTAATTAAAATGCTATTGGTGTAATCTACTGATGACATTTTACAAAATCATTGATTTAATATGCAATTTTGGTCAAAGTCTATTAAAGAAACTCTCAGGTTTTAATTTTCCTGCATCATCTGCAATGGTGACACTGCCAGAGCAGAGAGGTTCAACATTTGAAAAGCTTCATGTCACAAATGTTTTTCCCAGAAAATGAGGCATATCCAATGCAGTCACTATCACCTCCTTATTCATGCAAAATCTCTGTAAGATGATTATTACAGTATAAACACTACACTTTAGAAGTGTCACTGTATCATTTCACTGAGTATTGTGTCCTTCAGTTTGTTTCACTGACCTTGCAAGAAAACATGGCTGCCTCAGAAAGACACCCATTCAGCAGTGATTTGCTGTACAGTAAATAGCACATTTAAGAAAAATGTCTCCAGAAAAGAAGGTGAAAATTATTTGGTTTTTTTTACTTCACATCAAGTTTATGATCTCCAGCATTTGTGCTATGGCAAGGTCATCTGAGAGGCAACCAAAGAGGTTTTTGTTTTCATTTTAAATGCTGGGGAGCTGTGATCTGGCTGGAAGATGAATGGTGATAGGTTTAGTAACCTGATCAGAAACTGACTAAAGCAAGTGAAAAACACCTACTGAATTCAGTTCACTTTCTGTTCTGTTACTGAGAGAAATCTTGTCAAGATAGTATTGCAAGCATATTGTAAAAGACTATTTTTAGTTTAAGAGCATTTTTAGCATTTTAGTTACCTGAGGAATGTACTAGGTCATTTATCTAGTTGCAAATAATTTTATTTTGATAATAGTTGTTTAGCAGAAACAAAAAGGTTATATATGGTGCAATATAGTCATTAAGCTTGTCTTAACACTCATACAACCTGAAAGAAGTTGCATGAACTCTGTATCTTAGTACCTTGGTAGAAGTTTCATATTAAGTTGTTATCAAATTAGTGTTCTCATTGTTGATAACCTCAGCCATAATGTTCTGGAAGAAAAGTATCTCTTGACCAGTTGTTGTTAATCTTCATTCATTACACTTTGCTTCCCAGATTACATCCTACTAATGCCAATAAAATTTCTATGGATAGAAAGCCTCTGAAAAGGATATGTATCCAAAAATGTAACTCAATCATTCTAATTCAGTCCTGGAGAAAGAGAACAGACTCTCTGACTGTAATAGGGAAGAACAATAAGCTAGCATCTGTTACATGCAATTGCTGTTATGTAGGATGAACCCAACCTTGGCCAGCAAATCCACGAAATTCACAGGATCACAGACTCACAGAATGGTTGAGGCTGGAAAGAATCCATGGAGGTTATCTGATCCAAGCCCCCAACCAAGGCAGGGCCACCTAGAGCCCAGGACCATGTCCAGATGGCTTCTGAATATCCCCAAAGATGGATACTCCTCAACTCATGCCAGTGCTTGGTCACCCTCACAGTAAAAGTGTGTTCTGATGTTCAGAGGGAACCTCTCATGTTTCAGTCTGTGCCCATTGCCTCTGGTCCTGTCACTAGGCACCTTGGAAAAGAGCCTGGCTCCATGGTCTTGCACCCCCATTCAGGTATTTACATGTGTTAGTAAGATCGCCTTGAGGTTTCTCTTCTCTAGGCTGAGCAGTCCCAGCTGTTTCAGCCTCTCCTCATAGGGGAGATGCTCCAGTCCCTTCAACATCTTCATGGCCCTTTGCTGAATTCTCTCCATTTTGTTCATGTCTCTCTTGCACTGGACACAGTACTCCAAGTGCGTCTCACCAACTCTGAATAGAGTGGAAGAATAGCCTCCCTCAACCTACTGGCAACTCTCCTAATGCCACCCAGGGTACAATTAGTCTTCTTTGCCAGAAAAGGACACTGCCTGTACAAGAGGCATACATTCTACAAGAGGCTCATGTTCAACTTGGTGTTCACCAATGCTCCCAGGTCCTTTTCTTCAAAGCTGCTTACCAGGATCTAAGTTTTTTGATCTACTGACAATGAAGATATTAGACCACGCAGTATTCCATTCATGCATATCTCCCTGTGTCCCAGCTACACAAGCAGTTTTTGACCAAACCAAGGCAAAGCTCAGAACACCAACGCAGTTATTCTATTCTCTCTCCTCAGGTCTCACAACTATCTGTGAATCATGACATTCTGAGATGAAACAGGCTTCAGATTCTCAGACTAGGTAATATATATAGGTGAAATAAAGATGAATTATAAAGTTAGTAATGGAATACAGGCAGTTCTCAATCACAATATGAAGAAAGGATATTCATTTTGCTGATTTAGGTATGACTTTCTAGGCAGGCAGCAGAGTTTATTATATCCAGAGATTCTCTGAAACATTTACATTTTCTAATACACTGATTATCCATAAAGAGACTAGTAAGATGCACGAGTAATAAAAGTATGTTATGAGACAGCAAACTGATAGTACTTAAAATATTCAAAAGACAATTAAATTGTAAAACTGTTCAGCAACATTTGAAAACAACATTATCCAAAATGGCAAATGTCAAGGCCTCAGTTTCAAAGCAATAAATTTAGGAAAGCCTAAATTATCATATGAGTGAATTTTGAACATTAACAAAATATGGATTTTAACCAAATGAGTACAATTGTCATCATTCTTCAAGCTCCTGGTGAAACTGTGTGCTTGATGCTAGAGAGACAGTTTGTGATTTAATGAAAGGCAGTCCATGTAGGGGAAGACAGATGGCATGGGACTGGGGTGTAGAAGAAAACATAGAAGGTATAGAACCACAAGTGGGAAAAGACAAAAGCCGAAACCTGCGTTTTCAGTTACTTTTTTACTTCAGTTTTAGCTACTAGTTGCACAGTCTTAGAATTAAATAAGAGCACAAAGACAAAGAACTGACCCCAAATAGCAGCTGAAGGCTCCTCCTTCAGAAGAAAATGCTGTAATTAATATATCTTGGCAAATTAATCTGTGGCACCATGTTCCACTGCTACTACACAGCAGAGAAACTTCCTAGAGGCCACAAGGGTAAAGCTAGAGTACCAAGATTTTATTTTTTTCCTGGAAACTATTACTCTATTTCTGAAAACCAAAAATATACAATGTAGTCCTTAGAGGACTTTAAAGCCCCCAACCTTCCAAAAGGAGGAGCAAGATGTTGAAGTTTATTAACCTCTCCCATCTTCCACTGGACCAGGTTGCTCAAAGCCCAAATCAACCTGGCCTTGAACACTGCCAGGGATAGGACAGCCACAATTAGATTCTCTTCCCATGAAGATCACCTGAGATGAGAGAGGAGTACATCATCCCTGTCTTTGAACCAAAACATCATCTTTATACATATATGTGCCACATAATTTTTTAGTAATCGAGTTGTATTTATTATTTCACAGGTGAAAAAGCAAAGTAGGTACGTTGCTTATTTTCAATTATTTAAAAACCTTCTTATACAGTTGCACAACACTGCATGTTTTGCAGAATCTCTTTTCATATATAAAAAGCTGGTTTGTTGAAAAGAAAGGAAATAGAAATAGTTCTATTAATACTGATTTTCACAATGTTCCTTTAAAGGGATCGTAAATCCTAAGGTTTAGCTCTATGATTAATATTTTTTTGGAATTCTCCTTCCTTGGAAAATACGTCCTGATGGGAAAGGCTGGACTGAATAACTTTAGCTTGCCAGATCTTACTTGTAACATTCCCAAAGTATTCACAACATTTAAGTATCTTTGTATAATGGCTCCTCAGATTGTTTTACATACCTTTGGCATGCTGATAACTAAATGACCGGTTGTTTGTGATCTTTTAGCAGAGCTGCTGTCTGGCTTCACTTCCTCAGGGAGCACAAACTGAAATGGCTATAAGAAAAAGTGGGGTTGAAGTATATTATGCTACAATGTCTGGGTTTTATTGGTTTGGGTTTTTTTTTTTACCTGCACAGAACAAATGCAGAAACATCACTATCACATCCTTTGATCTTAAGGACAGTAAAGGTCTAAATCCTCTCACTTTATATATAATATTACTAACCCTAATAAATTATTAGCATGCTGAACAGCTTTTACTTGACAAGTATAGTCACATATATATTCCTGCTGTCATACCCAAAGTGACATTTCTAAAGAAGGTTATGAAATGACACTTGACTTATATTAGCAATTAAATAAGAAAGATTATCCAGTCTATTTTAGGTATAAAGTACTCCTGAAGTTTTGTTTATGTAGTTGGTACAGTCAAAAATAGGGATTTTGGTTTACTGTTTAAGTAACTTGTATTTTTCAAAAAATTCATGGTAAAACCAGTAAGAAGACAGACAAGTGGAATGACATTTTAAATGCCCTTTAAAAGAATATACATCCATTTGTTTCTGTCAGCTATGAACTCCAGATTGTGAAATTGCTAAATTCTAGCCTAGGGCAACCAGAAAGCTCTCTTCTTAAATGAATTATGGTACACTGTGTGGGGGAGAAACGAGAGGAGGAGAGAAGAAGAGAGAGTGAAATTTCATTTCAGGCTTTACACATCTTCTGGTTAGGACTTCCACAGTTTATGTGTGGTCTAAAATAATGCAAGTATGAAAGAACTTCTTCTGCATAGGTGCACAGTTGGTAACTCACAGAAGTCAGACCCAGAGTCATCTAAGTAACTATGGTCAACGTTAACTCTTGGTTTGACATGAATATAGCAAGAAAACACTAACCTTTCCCTTCACCATTACACGTACATAAGTTGGCTGGACATCAATATCAAGCAGAGAAGTGTCCAAATGTCTTCAGGATGTAATACAAATAAAAGAATCCATTTACAATACAGTCCAGTAAATAAGCAGTGCAGACCATATAGCTCTTTAATGGTGATTTTGCAGTTTATAAGCCACAAACTTCAATTCTAATTATTGTGTGAAATATGTATATATTTCAAAGTGTTAATGCCTTTGGAAGAAAAATCTGATCTTCCCGTGTGTTCTCAGAATCTTAATTAAAATAACATCTGAATTCTGTCAAGTCTACCACATCAGCTATTCTGTAACTGCAATAATTCAAAATCTTTGTGGCAAATGGTCTTTCCTCTATTAGTTTCATGCTGTACGTTACTATGAAAATTAATCTATTTAAAGTTGCAAAATTATTTTGCTACTTTTGTTTCTGAAGGCTTAGCAAGCAAATATACAGTAAGAGATCTTTCTTTTGCACAGAATTTGCTGGACAACCATGAACAGAAATACTATGCATTTCTAGAAATCAGAAAATTGCAGGTCAAACACAATTGCAGGTCAAACACAATAAAACGGACCTATGAAAGCTCCACTTTAACATCTTCTCTTCATCATGTGACACATACCCTCGTGAATGTGTAAGTACATATTCTTTATTTCCCTTCATTTATAAAGTTACCTCTCAGGTGAATTTTTCGAACCTTTTAGTCTGCATGTCTTACAAGTGAACACAAAATATTATAACATGTCCAATATCTTATTGCACCTGAACAGATTTTCTGAAGCTCTGAAAAAGCTAATTCTCAGAATTCAGAGATAAAAAGCAGGACTCTTTTGAGGGAAACCAATAAGCTTTAAGGGAAGAACACCTGGCATGAATTGTGTTTCTGTGCTATAATACTAGTTCAAGCTTTACTCTAACAAATTCCTATAATGGGTAAACAAGCTTTTAGGTTTCCAACCCCTTCCTGAAGCCTGGGCAAGGCTTAGTAATATATACTAGCAAATAGTTATCAGATTTCCTGGTTCAAGCATATTTCTTCCAGCCAATAGCCTGGCACAGTTCAGGAAACAGCATGGACTATGGACTCTCTCCAGTAAGGAAGGAAAGTAGGACAAGGATACCCTATTCTGTCAGAGGAAGGCAAATAATTAAGATAGAAGGACATTAACTGTACTGGAGCACTTGGGAAAAAAAAAAATCCCTACAACCCTAATCTGCAAATAAAGAACGAAAAAGGTTTTACATAAGTATAAAAGGAAAGGTGTGGAGGAAACCTGTCTGTGGACTGCAGGGAACATCAGCTGCAAAAAAACAACTCTTAAGAGTCCTCATTCACAGTGACAGAACAGTCTGAAGGGTCTATGGTTTATTCAGATTCATTTCTTGTGCACAGACTTCAAGATTGATTCCGGTACCCCCAATATTATTTGTTTTCCTCTTGAAAATTTCCACTTACAAAGAGGAATATAATAGAACACTGCGTATTGAAACTTCAGAATGGCAAAAATTAAGAGAAAATAAATCTGACCTGTAAACAGCAAGATCCAAGATGATCTGGTTGTTTTCTTCATCATCTTTCAAAGAGAAATGAAGCCTAATAATAATAACAAGAAAACCTTCAGGATAAATACAATTGGAGTGAATAAGCAAACATCACAGCATCCTTTCACTGCTAGCACTTTTTGATGAATACAAATATCATTGAGACAATACATCACATGATCATTTTAGAAACAGTTGCAATTTGCCTCATGAACACAAAAATACACTGGCATCTGAACCAAAGTCATTCTTTCATTCATTTTTTGTTTTTCCCACTCAACCCACAAGGAAAAGAAGACAAAAATACTGCTGAAGGTCAGTTAAAATTAAGCTCAGTCTGTCAATGCAGAAAGAGAGACATCTGCTGGTGAAATCTCCCTGCTTTACCAACAACTTCATAGCAAAAACAGTTCATGAAAAGCATGAAAAGCCTGGAGCTTGATAACTCTAAACTTATCATATGTTAAAAAAACCTCTGCATCTTTGTTGATAGCGGTTAATTTGCTAAAGTATACATATCTGCCTGTGCATTTCCAAAGTAATACACGATTCATACAATATCCTTGATATTGTATTCTGGTACAGTCAATTTGCAAGAAAGCTTATGGAGCTTTTGAGTTATGGGTATTTTTTAATGGAATACTGCAGAGAATCATGTTCAGGCTTTTTTCTTTTATTGCATCTTACTGCAAACTTTGAGAAATCACTAAAATATGAAGGGTGAAAAAGAGAAAACTGTAAAATTTTCTAGGGGCAAACCTAATCAGAACTGAGGAAGAAAAATAGTTTGCTCTCAGCAGTGTTCCCTTGCCAACCTCCCAAAAGAAAACCCAGAAGCTTGGACACTGGTATGGGCATTCGATTTCTGCACTGAAGCAAAAGCTTTGGAGAACACGACCTGTCTACTTGTATCTCTTTACTTTTGTCTCTCTGATACACTGACAGATTGCATGAAGAGCTGTGATATTCTTGTTGAAGCCATGACAGAAACTGATCATTGATCTGGCTTTACATGGGCACATCCACAGGCTAAATTCTAATGCAGAAAACTTGGGTGACACAAACAGGACTGCTACTAACAGTGAAGTCTAGGGACTAATTCTTCTAAAAAGATAGTTAGACCTTTATTCTAAATGTCTCTACTTTTTAGAAGTATAATCAAATTCTATGAACTATTTTAATTAAACTATTTTAGACTTCTTTGAACTAGAAAATAATTTAAAGTTTTTTTTAATCAACACATTAGTTAAAAAAAGAAGTGCATCAATACAATGGTAAGTATCTCCTGGTGCAGATGGAATAAACAGGAGGTCTGCACTACCTTTAGTTTTCTCTATCACACTGAAAATTATGCACTGATCCTATAAAGTAGGTTTTCAAATTCCTTGAATGTCCATGGATTTATAAATTTCCAAGATTTAGAAAGCATTCTTCACACAAATGATGAGCATGTTCTGAGCTTCGATTTTGCAGCTAGATCAGTCTTAAGATGGAAAATCTTATTCAGAGGACAGCAGACAGGTACGTGACCCTTTGTATGCCAATTTTTGATCACTCCTCTAACAGAAGGCTCTTGGGAGAGCCATTTATAAGGAAACAATGTTTGCACTCTGTCTTCTGCTCTCCTTTAGAAAAGGTTGATTCAAGAGAAACGAATGGTAACACACAGATGATACTCTGGAAACTCATTCCGTAATACTCAGGTGCCTTTGTCAGTGATAAAATACAAAGACTTCCCTGCCTCTGTTGCTACAGACCTCATTCAGTGTCAAAGGACCTCATGCCATAGAAGCTGATTACATACCCTTCCCAATTCTGAGAGGGTTTCATCTGTCATCAGAGGACTGAGTAATTCTGTCCAGAAATATTACTTGGATGTATTTTCCCACATTTAAAGTGGCTACTCATACACATTTATCTTTCTTCAACAGTCAAACCGGTTAAACTTTTTCCACTCTTAGTAAGATGCTCCAAGAGAGCCTTACCATAGAAGGAAAAAGAGTAAACCATCGTATATCTTTTACAGAAAACCAAGTTCTTCCATCATCAAAGGCCAAGGTATTAAACAACCTTCAACACCTCACTCACTGAAAACTAATTATTTTTCCAGCATCTGCATATAAATTCAGAAGTCAGATTCCACACCAGGAACCTAATTCTGAAACAAGAATTTGTCAGCATCCTTAATTTTATATTGCCACATATCTTGAAATAGTTGCCCATACCAGCTGTAAAGAGGATAGGTTAGTTAACCTCTTAACCTTACATACTTAGGCGCATTCACGTTCAGAACTTTTCCTTCTGCAGTGAAAAATGTCCAAAGAGGCTTCTCTTTCTTTTTTGATTCCCTTAACAAAACAAAGAAAAATGGTTTAAAATTTGACATTCTCATATTTTATTTCAGTAGCAAAAAAAAAAAAAAAAAAAAAAGAGGATGGCAAGAGGTAAGAATTATCAGGTCCTATCAAATGTCCAATTGCACATTAAAAGCATCATTTAAATATGAGCAAATGCTTTGTAATATCACGTCTTGCATTGATAATAACTTCTTCTGCATGTCACAGTACCCATTATTGAACAGCAATATATCAAGTTTATCTGTATATCTTAAGAAATCAGTGGATTACTTAAACATATGAAATGGGATGTTTTTCTAGTTATAAATGGAATTACAGACCACTCAGTCTCACCTCTGTGCCTGGCAAACTATTGGAGCAGATTCTCCTGGAAGGCATGCTAAGGCACATGAAAATCAACAAGGTGCTTGGTGACAGCCAGCATGGCTTCACTAAGGGGAAATCCTGCCTGACCAATTTGGTGGCCTTCTATGATGGGGCTACAGAACTGATGGACAGGGGTAGAGCAGTTGATGTCATCTACCTGGACTTGTGTAAAGAGTTTGACACTGTCCCGCAAGACATCCTTGTCTCTAAATTGGAGAGACATGAAATTGATGAATGGACCACCCAGTGGATAAAGAACTGGCTGGATGGCCACACACAAAGAGTTGTGGTTAATGGCTCAATGTCCAGATGGAAACCAGTAATGAGTGGCGTCCCTCAGGGATTGGTGTTGGGACCTGTCTTGTTTAACATCTTTGTCGCTGACATGGACAGTGGGATTGAGTGCGCCCTCAGCAAGTTTGCCGATGACACGAAGCTGTGTGGTTCCGTTGATACGCTGGAGGGAAGGAATGCCATCCAGAGGGACCTTGACATGCTTGTGAGGTGGGCTGATGCCAACCTCATGAAGTTTAACCATGCCAAGTGCAAGGTCCTACACCTGGATCAGAGCAATCCCAGAGACAGCTACAGGTTGGGCAGAGAAGAGATTCAGAGCAGCCCTGCTGAGGACTTGGGGGTACTGATTGATGAGGAAATGAACATGAGCTGTCTTCAGTGTGCAATTGCAGCCCAGAAGCCAACCATATCCTGGGCTGCATCAAGAGGACCAGCAGGTCCAAGGAGGTGATCCTGCCCCTTTACTCTGCCCTCGTGAGACCTCACCTGGAGTATTGTGTGCAGTTCTGCTGTCCTCCACATAAAAAGGACATGAAACTGATGGAACAAGTCCAGAGGAGGGCCACGAGGATGATCAGGGGAATGGAGCACCTCCCATATGAAGATAGGCTGAGAAAGTTGGGGCTGTTCAGCCTGGAGAAGAGAAGGCTGCGTGGAGACCTCATAGCAGCCTTCCAGTATCTGAAGGGGGCTTATAGGGATCCTGGGGAGGGACTCTTCATTAGGGACTGTAGTGATAGGACAAGGGGTAATGGGTTCAAACTTAAACAGGGGAAGTTTAGATTGGATATAAGGAGGAAATTCTTTCCTGTTAGGGTGGTGAGGCACTGGAATAGGTTGCCCAGGGAGGCTGTGAATGCTCCATCCCTGGCAGTGTTCAAGGCCAGGCTGGACGAGGCCTTGGGTGATATGGTTTAGTGCAAAGTGTCCCTGCCCATGGCAGGGGGGTTGGAACTAGATGATCTTAAGGTCCTTTCCAACCCTGACTATTCTATGATTCTATACTAATCATGAGACATCATTACTGTTAACTGATTCAATGCATGTGCAAGCAATTGTAAAGACATAACATACAGATTATTTGTTAAAAAAAATCTACTGCATTTTTTTGTTCCGTTCTTCCTTCAAATCATGCAAAACATATCAGTGATGGAGACTTCAGTCTTCGCTATCCATGTCCAACTATCATCAATTAAACTATAACTGACTTTCATTTGGTGCAAAAATGAGCTGTCTTAAATTTATCTGCCAAGTTCATTAAGTCATGTGGCACTGGTGTTTTCCTGTATAAAAGTTTAAATCATGAGCAAGGAGGGGAAGAATAAAGAATCTTAGAAAAAGAAATATCTGCTGGCACCTATGTAAAAAATGGCTACGTTCTCTTTAAAATACAGCACTGTAATTCTTACTTTTCATTAATCCACTCTTCAGCTGGTCAATTAGTGTGTATGCCTACTTCAGCTGGCATAGAAAAAAAAGTATTTCTCAAAAAGACAACAGCAATTCATTGTTTTTTATGTTCCCAAACTATTTTCTTACTGTAAATTCAAAATTAAGAGAACACTAAAGGTAAATCGCTAATGAGGGAAATAAAGTATGTAACGTTTAGACCAACTTTGGGGAAAAAAAGGCATAAAAAATATTTGGTCTATAAATATGATGGATTTGAAGAAGAAATAAAAACGTTCAAGTGGAGCTACTGTAATGACTACATAAAAACAACTTCTATTTAAGAAAGATTCACAGCTACCCCTGCGTTCAATACTATTCCACAGTATAAATCAGAAGTTTAATGGGATTTGTGGGCTAGCATTTTCTGTACCTGAATATCTACTTTTGACATTGAAATGCAAAGTGAACTTTGTTCTAAAGATGCAGGTTTCAGAAATACTTCAGAAAATTGTATCCTACCACCTTTTAGCTGTTAATAACCTGTGTCTAGATGAAATCTGTCTGCTCATGTGAACTATTTCAAGGTAAATTCGGTTATGTCACAAGCACTAGAATTCAAGGTAAGTTCTTTAACTTCGTGCTGAGATGAAAGGCCTTGTTCTGGCAATGAGCTGCAAAAAGAGATCCTGGGCACCCTCCAGCTGCAACTGATTTTACACTTTTTTGAAGTTTCTTTGGATGAAACTGCAGGTACTCAATCATTTGGTAACCACCAAAGCTGCTCAATTTATTATCAGCTGTGCAACTTTAACACAGCTGGCAAATTTGATGTGTGCTAACATGTCATAGATAGGCTTCAATTTAGCACTAGTGTGACTGAGGTCATGACCGTTTCATACCAAAACCCCCATCCTTTTATACTGAGCAACTTACATTAAAGTTATATTTCAGCTCTTGTGCACCAGCAAGATTTGAAATTGTCAGGGGAACTTTTCTGTTCTCACCTTTCTTATGCTACCTCAAAACCAATATAAAATGAACCATGACAGGAATTTTAACTTCTTTAAATGACTCAGAAATTCAGAATTAAATTCAGAAATTAATTATTGTATCTTTATTGCAACACTATTTAAAATCTCCTTGAATATATTTAGAGGGAAGCATTTGGAACACATTTGCTTTTGAGTAGAGCAGGGCATCCCCAAACACAGCAAAATTCTAACTAGCTAGATTCTGGGTTTCACAGTAGTTCTTCTGAGAAAGTGCTAGACCTTGAAGTAATAATAGCAACAAGTTATGCAGATTTTCAGACTTCTGGGAGAGTTCCCTGGGACTGACTTTTTCAATACTTGGGCTTCATAAATCTTTTTAAAAGCATGCCTTTAAAAAGAACAGCTAGAAAAATCTCTGGCACAAATGCTGTTATATAAACAAAAAAATAAAGAAGGGAAAAAAAGACATTGCTTACAATGTTTGTGGAACTGATAACCCAGCAGCAATAAAATAACTGATTTTTGCTAGCATGTGCATTAATTTTCCATGTTCAGCAAAACCAGTGACAACTTTAGGAAGTTCGAAGGGCTTTTGACGGGCCAGACGTCTTCAGATTCCAAATAGCATAGATAGCATGAAGAATCTTATTACTTGGGATGAACATCTTTGATAAAGCACATGAAAAGATTCCTAAGTCACATAGAAAAGGTGCCTGAAATGCCACTTGTAGCGTGGCCTGTAGGGCATCTGTACAATGCAATCTGCACCCTGGATAAATCCTTTCAGCAACAATATGAAACATCAAACTACACAAAACACATTAATTAGCTGACACAAAAGTGAAACTTCTGAAGTCCATAAAATGGATTTGAAAAGAGAAATTCTATTTAAAAACTCTATTTGAGGGGAAAAAATACCATTAATTTTAGAAAATAAAGCAAAACAAAATGAAGAGTCTGAATATTCTGCTTATATTTTATATTTGCACAGGCAACAGGGATTTAAGTTGCCAGTTCTCAGTAACATTTAATGTGAAGCAGTCACCTTCCTCTTTTCTGTACCTTTGAAAATGTCCCTTTTTTCAATTCATAGAATATAATAAAATAAAACCATACCTTACATTCTCTTTAGCTCTCCGTTTCTCTTCAATGTATCTGTGGGTTTCTAATCTAGATTCTGGTGTGTATGGTGTAGGCTCCTCCCAAAATCTTTTGTCTTCATCATCTTCAACTGTTCTCCATGATTCCTCTTCTTCACCTCCTTCTGCCCGCTGTTTTTCTTTCTCCTGTAGGGAGTCTGGCCTACACAACATCACATGGAATGTTATCATAGAATCATAGAATCATAGAATGGTTAGGGTTAGAAAGGACCTTAAGATCATCTAGTTCCAACCCCTTTGCCATGGGCAAGGACACCAATGTAACAAAGGAAGAGTAACAGTACTTGCTAATGAATTCTTGCAATAATATGTTTTTTAACCCAATACTAATAGCTGTATAATTCCTACAAAGAACAATATATATCTAGATAGATATATCTATGCTTCTTTCATCAACTATCAAAATGCATTTCAAAATGTTTTTCATTGACTTAACTGAGCAGTGATACTATGGTTATGCCTAACTCTCTGAAAACCTTGATAGATCAACATGTTTAATTGCAGGACCAGAACCAAGATATCCTTACAACTTACAAGTGAAAGAAACCTTCAGTCTGCGTGAAGTTTAAACATTCCCAATATCAGGCAGCGGCAGATTAGAAATTTATAAGGTAGCAATATTTTACTTGGGCATCTCCTCAAATGCAACCTTAGAACCTGAATCATTTTTCTCCCTAGCCCCAAGCCTCTGTAATATTCAGAAATTCTCTGCCAATATAGAGAGAAAACTAGATTTATGATACAGTTGTGATAGATGAGGACAAAGTTCCATAGCCAGCTCCATGGAATTTAGTCTTTATTGGATAAAATTAAGACGGATGGCAACTGCTTTGGGAGCTGAGCCCAGACAAAAATCCTTCTGCTGTCTAGGTAATCTCAGCTATATTAGGTGGAAGAATAGAGAAATGAACATTCTATACCCTTTTACATCTCAAAAGATCTGCAATATTCCATTTCAGTCTTCATATCTAATAGCTATAAAGCAAAGGAAATTACAGGTGAACAGCTGCTTCTCTGGAACCCCTACTTTTCCTTAAACAGCAGTTTCCATCTGTACTCCTGAAAGAAGCTATCAATTACACTATTTTGGCACCCAGTTTGGAGTTCTGGAACCAAAATTCTATTGTACTGTCTGCAGGTCAGTAATTAATCATGTTTGTAATTAATTATATTTTTCATTAGATGTAACATGCATGAGGAAAAATAATGCTGCTAGAATCAACAATAAAGACAAACAAAAATACTGAAGTGGAATTATATAAACTATTTAACAAAGAAAAAGCAAATTCTTAATAAAGAAAGATAAGAGTGGCATTTACCTGTCAAATCCAAGTTTAGATTCCATTGGGTTTTGTTTCTTGTCCTTTCTTTCTTGCATCCTTCTTTGAGCCTCTTCCTTTTCTCTAGCCCTTTTGAGAAGATAAGCTTTTTCCTGTTCTCTGATTTTCTGTTTCACTTCTGCATAGTTTTGAAGTGCTTGAATCCTCTCCGAACGTTCTATTTGTTTACTATCCAAACACTTCCCAAGGGGAAAAAACATACAGATATATGAGAAATTTTAAACAAGGGGCATTGTGAGACTGCCTGTTTCAATGACAGGAAATCATTATATAACTGCAGGCATTGCAATATACATTATTTACTGTAGTCACATATTCTTCATAACAGAATTTAATTTCCTGTGGACAGTAAAAAATGCTACCAGCTTTCCTGTCATGGGCATTTATTTTTAGTATGTTAAGTCAACAATGCTCATTATTTATTTGAATATACATTTAATTTTTAAAATCTTACTTTTAATTGATGCAGAGTTGCCACTACAAATTGTCTGTAACCTTCAAATTCAGTACAAGGGTTACCCACTAGAAACAGTTCATTCAGATGTATATTATGTTTCAGGGCTTCAATACTGGAGAGTTCACCAATGAAATTTGCTGTCAGGTCAAGTTTCTTCAGTTCTTCACAGCCTGAAAAACACTTAACTCAACTTGAACATAAAATAAATGTACATGACATATACACACATAAAACACACACAGGTGCACACACTTGGCTATAAAACTGTCTGCATTTGCTGTCTTACTACTAATTTCATCCAATCAGAATACGTCTTTTCCAAGCCACTAGTGAAAGAGTGACTCAGAGCTTAAGCTTATAATGTCACAGTATTTGTAGAAAACAGAAAATTCTCAAGAAGATACAAAATATCAAGCTTACTATTGGTTATATCACTATTAAAATGTTGTGGTCAATGCTGGTATACTAGATGAACTCTTGTTTCAGCTATCATTGTGAATCACTACTTAAATTGCAAATAGTGGTAACCATAGAATTATAGAATGGTTTGGGTTGGAAATGACCTTAAGATCATCCAGTTCCAACCCCCCAGCCATGGGCAGGGACAACTCACACTAGAACATGTCACCCAAGGCGCTGTCCAAGCTGGCGTTGAACACTGCCAGGGATGGAGCATTTAGAATCATAGAATAGTTAGGGTTGGAAAGGACCTTAAGATCATCAAGTTCCAACCCCCCGGCCATGGGCAGGGACACCTCGCACTAAACCATATCACCCAAGGCCTCGTCCAACCTGGCCTTGAACACTGACAGGGATGGAGCATTCACAACCTCCCTGGGCAACCCATTCCAGTGCCTTACCACCCTTACAGTAAAGAACTTCCTCCTTATATCCAATCTAAACTTCCCCTGTTTAAGTTTTAACCCATTACCCCTTTAAACATTTCCCCTTTAACACTTCTTTGGGCATCATCACCACCCTAACAGTAGGGAACTTCTTCCTTATATCTAACCTGAACTTCTCCTGTTTAAGTTTAAACCCATTACCCCTTGTCCTATCACTGCAGTCCTTTCCTTAATGAAGAGTCCATCCCCAGCATCCCTATATGCCCCCTTCAGATACTGGAAGGCTGCTATGAGGTCTCCACGCAGCTTTTCTCTAGTCTGAACAGCCACAACTTTCTCAGCCTATCTTCATACGTGAAGTGCTCCAGCCCCGATCATTCTCATGGACCTCTTCTGGACTTGCTCCAACAGCTCCATGTCCTTCTTATATTGTTAACCAAAACAGTTCATTATAAACAGAAACTCTTAATTAGCCAACAAAATCCTCTGGAAAATCCAGATCAAAAAATTATCAGCCTCTCCTTTTATCATAATCTGTCCCTGAAGCATAAGCATGACCCTAAGAGTAAAAAAGTTTAGCCTTAATGCCCATTATCGTGACCACTTGTGTTCCTTTGCAGGTCTATTTGGCAAGTATTTTCTGCACATTGGAGCCCAAAGAAAATAAGCAACTCCAAGAGGTTTATTAGGGAATTTAAATAATGCAAATGTTTTCAAAGCTCACTCCTAAAGGTTCTGACTCATCAGAAAATGACAAATCACAGTAATAAAGGCTGCAGCTGGATAAAGGAACTTAAAATTTACTGTTATGAGAACAGATGCAAGTTTCTCAATATACTGCCAAATACATAACGTACTACCTGTTTCTTCAACTTTTACAGACTTGCGTTTAGCCTGTTTATCTTTTATTTGATTTAAGCCAACCTCTTGATTCAGCTTGTAGACTTGAAAAGTACCAAACTGAAAACCCCAAAACAAACTAAAAAAAATAAACCAAAACTCCAGCTTTTTTTATTATTGTTCCCTTGTCAGGGTAGACATTGTAAAGATTTAGCAACTGACCTAATCAAAATCAAGAAAGAGGAAGCAAGGAAGTCAGAAATTATTCAAGTAATATGAAATGTGTTTATGGGCAGCTCGAAGTCTTAGATTTTGAACTTGGAAAATGCTAGACTTTTGAACACGCAATAATAGTAACAGATAAACCAGACTGAACTTCATCTAAAGACAAAGAATCATTTGAACAGCTCTTTAAAAATACCCCAGACTGTCAATACAAACTGTACACAGAGTAGAACCTTCTTGTGTGTAACACTTGACAAGTGAAATGAACTGGAATGCTGAAACATGACACAAGAGAGACTTTATATAGCCTGCATAGCATTAAATAAATATATTAATAAACGGCATTGCTCCAGTTAACCTGAATAACAAGTTCTTATTTCTATGGTAGAGAAATACCAATTTCAAAACAAATTTGGATTTCCATTTTGTAAAGCATTAAAGAACAGAGCTATTATAGCTGGCAACACCAGTGACAGTGTATGCAAAAAGTGAATTAAAATATGTTTAAGAAAGTTCGATGTCAAAGCTTCAGCAGCGAGAAGCACTTGCTACAAAGAAGCATTTGTGGAAAGGCTGCAGGCAAAATGCCTCTTTCTGAGTGTCAACAAAGTACCTTCACTGGTGGACATACCCTGTTATACGTTCTCTTAAACACTCTTTTACACTAAATCACAACTCAAGTGTTTCAACATGAAAAGGAAAAATGGTTTGTTTAAAAGCTGACCTTCCAAATTTTCAATTCTTTCTATGTTGTTCAAAGCTACATTTAAGTATTCCAGCTTCTTCAGCTTGCCCACATTTTCTGTAACAAAACAGATCTATTATTTCAGTTTTATTCACTGGAAAAGGTATTATCATTTTACTTGCTCACTTCAGTGAAACAGTAAAGCAGAAAAATAAGAAGGACAAATCAGAATAGGTAACAGATTACTGAGCATTCATATTTTAGTATTAATAAAAAGACAAAACCAAAAAAGTTTTCTGAAACACCATCTAAAATTAAAAAGTAAAATAAATAAGGTTTTTAACCAATTTTTTAGCACAAATTATAAAGCACATTTATAATGCAAGAGGACCAGCCAAAAAGCACAGTAAAACATTCTATCTGTCATGAAACTCAGAAAGGATCAGGACATACATAGTCAAGCTTTAAAAAGTTAGAGTTTACACTCACTTATATAGAAAAGATTGGCTTTGGTAGTACATATTTAATGTTTAAAGGTCTTTTATCTACAAGGTTAATACAAGACATTTACTCCCTTTGAAAATTTTGCAAATAAGGATTTCTATGGCTTCAGTATGAACAAAACAAAGCCAAACACACCCCTAGTCTGGAATCTAACCTGGATTATTTTCACCATGGACTACTGAAATTATCAGGTTGTGGAGAATTGTATTAGAATGGCTAACATTTCCTCTTTTGAACATAAAAAGGGAATAGGATGTTCATCCCTTCCCAAAATGACTGAAAAATGCCAATACTACTTGGGATACATGACAACAGGTCAGAGACATAAATCTGGGACAAGATACACTATAACTTGTGCTACAGTTCACCAATTTCTCCTCAGTCACTGTATGATTTCAAAGATCTGGCTGGAAAACCTTTCCAGTGAAGTCATAAAGTTTACCTCTAACTCTCATTCACAAGCCACATTAACTGCTGTACAAACTGACCCTGCTCAAAGAAAGAAAGAAATTCAAGCAGAGGGAGCTTCATCTGACCAACACCAACATCTCAGCAGCTGATTTAATTGCCTAGGCTCTTCTATAATCAATAAGGAGAAATAGGCTCTTCAAGGTGCAATTTGTCTTATCTTGAATTGTCTGTCTAGAACCAGTGAACCTGCTCCAAAATACTCCTTTTTTTCATCATGGATTACAAAGGGGGGCTACAGTAACCATCTAAGACAGAAACGTCTAAAAATTTGGTGACATGAGTCCTACCACTTAGTTTGCTGAAACCTTGGAGAGATATTTTCTTCAGAATTCACAAACAGCTGTTGAAATTAATTTCTCAGCAAGACTTATGCTGCTTAGGTTGGCTGTTCATTTTTCTTCCAGCATTTCTGTAACAGCAATGCCCATACACATGAAGATGTGAGAGAAACAAGTGTTGAAGCCAATGGTATCCTGAGGGTTTTCTCCCATTTATAGAAAAGAACCAAGACTCATCCATACAGCAGATACCTACAACTTTCTGTCTAATTAGTAGGTAAGTCTGATCTTAAGGGCTGCATAAAGGTTTACTTTAAGAAGAGAAAAGACACATCCCAACAGACTCAACATAAACCATTTGACTATGATATCTTGAAGCGTGTTTGAAACTGCTGTGTGCTTCAAATGGACATTCTGGATCAGATGAATGGAAATAAAATCTTGTAGGAGATCTCCAAAGAATTTTTCTGTAATTTCTGACTCTACACTCCCTTGAAGTATAGCACAAAAGATTTTTTTTTTGCTATTTCAAAACTATGAGTGTAAAAAGCGTTTAGAAAGAAACATACCTAGAAAATACTCACCAATTTTTTGAATTAGATTATTCTGAAGATAGAGAATTTTTAAATCTCGACACCACTTGTCAAGATACTCTAGTTTTTCTATTTCCTGCTGATGTAAAGAGATTTCTTCCAGTGAAAATATTTCACAGTCATTATGCTCTGCACGTCTTCTAACAAGATCTTCAGTGACTGAAAGAAATATTAGATGTCATATTTACCTTTAGTCATTTTCTGCCATCTGACTTACAAGCAACTTCTAAAATCATTAATATTTTTTGTTCCACCAAACCAAATAGATATCTGGTAGGAACAACAAAAATAAAATCTGCTAGAAAAGACATCAAGTACCAAATGACTTCAGACCAGTCTGCCACGGTAAACATCATTTGTGGAACACACTCACGTCAGCTGTAACATTTAGAAAGATCCATATGAAAACTGCTAATGCGAGTGTGATACAACCCTTCCAGAAATTAATCCAGCATCCACTATTTTCAGCATAGCTTGGGCTGCAGATTGATTCATCTAGACAAAGCAAGGGAGTGTTTTATGTTATTTTATTTCCTGATGCCAGATGTTCACATCACAGATCAGGGCAGTGGGGGAGTAAACTAGCTACAGCTTGTTATCATATTCTTCCACCAGCACAGTGTGCACAGAAATAATCAAGGTATGTGTTGAAAGAGGGCAGATATTTTTTACTTTTTTTATGTTTGAAGCAAAGTCATAACCAATTCATGCTTATAAACGTTTATGCTAGAATGAAATTTAATACTGGGTATTTCTTAGGCACTACAAGCTGAACAGCAGCCAGCATAGGAGTTTCAGTAGCCAAAAAAACACCAGAAGAGATCTAGGTTCAGAATTATCACATAGTAAAATTTAGTGCCATGCAATCTTTCAAACAGTGAAAGGCTCTGTATGATGAAGGTAAAGAAATTCTATGAGAAACAGTGCTACTCTTGAGCTAGATGTTATTACTTCATTTCCAGTCTACAGCACAAAAAATAAGTGCTAGCATTTTCCTCACCTTGACAAGCAGTGACCTACAGTGAAGTACTGATTAAAAAATTAGGGGTTTATCAACTTGGCATAGGTATTTTCATGATTGTTAATACTGAAAAAAAAAAGGCTAACAAGCCTTTCAAAAAGACTCTGAAGAAAAGTAAGTAAAAAGAAAAAATATAGAGATCTGTGAAAACAAATTGCTCCTACCATGAGTTAATTAAAAGTATTCTTCCGTTGCTGGGAACTCATCCAGTTTTATTAGTGGTCCTGGAATGATTGCACATATTCACACAGACTAGTTTGTTACAAGCTAGGTAAACTATGTACCAAACTAAATCCAAACTCACATATGTCAATGCATCTCCTGTATCTAAAACCTTTGGGAAAGGGGTGAAACTGCTTTTTTATATATTACATTATTTACAGATGATCAGTTAAAAGTCCCTTCTGTTCAACAGTTACCTCTACCTCTATGATTCTAACATGATTTAGAGAGTTATATAATGGTGATACTGATACTGATATGAGAGGGGATCTTGTCTGTACATAAAGTATACTGGGAAAGATGTCTTTCTCTTTTTCAATCATTTTGGGCAGGTTTGCTGCATCTGAACAACCACCTTTCCTTCAACAGCCCATTGATTAAGCCTGATTCAATTAATGGAGAGAAAATGAATGGCAATATTGTGACTAAATATTTTAGTCTTCACAGAAAATATTGAAACACTGGCATTAGTACTGAGCTACTTGGTAAATCTGCTAGAAATAAAAAAATAAGTAAAAAATAGACTAAAAAGCCTGCTTATTAACATGTTTGATGGCTGATTTTTCAGTGCCAGTATTTCCAGTGCAAACAGTGGTTTTGAGCAAGAAAACAATATTCTCCAATCTGCATGCATACCCATTGGAGACACCATGCTCTGTACCCTTTATACAAAAAAGTCATACAAACTGTTCCTGACAGTTTTATTACAGCCAGATTTCCCTTTGCTGATGAAAAGAAAATGGAAGTGATTGTTACAGTGTTTATGCAAAAAACCGTCCACTTTCATTACCAGATGGTTTGCAAAGCAGAAACAATCACTCACAATAGAAGCTACAATGGAGCTTTAGAGACCTATTTTGGGGACCTGCTGTACGAAACTGAGTGAATATTTGTCATTTTCTATGCTATCTGGTTCATTTAAGAGGAACGAGGGAAACAAAGTTGCAAGAGAAAACAAATTTTAAATAAAAGCTTTTCCAAGACATTGACAAAACACATTGCAACATTTCTTCCCATTGAGAAGTTCATTAACCAGCTTATGTGTGCAGTAACAAAAGAATGGACCAGTGATGGGAGAGATCACAGCTACTCCCATGCTCCCATGAACACAGGAGGCAATGAGGGATGGCGTCAATCAACTGGAGAGAACCGATCTTGAAGCTCTAACAGCTGGACTTCCAAAAAACCATTGTTTTACTCCAAAAGGAGCAGATACAAACAAAAGCATTCAATAAATGGAAAAAATAAACAGGTAGACAGCTGCAGGTGTATCAAGAATCAGCGGGGGAAAATGCATTTCAAAGAAGTATGCACTTTTAAGGCTCATATTCATGCCATACTGTTGTGGGGATGAAGCCATTCACCTTCAGGCACTGCCTGCTCCATCTGCCAGCTTCATGCAGAGCGAAGGGAGCTCCTTTCCAAAGCACTATTTTACCCAGCAAGGGACTGGCTGTCCAATGACCGTATACAATCTAAATAGATTACAGGGAAAATGGCAGAGGAATGGAATTCCTCAGTGGCTTTTTTCTCCTGAGTGATATGCATGAGCACTCAGTCTTTTAGGTCATACTGCTTTAGCTCTAAAAGATTATGGATTCATAAGTAACGGTGTGGTGTATTTTAACACCACAGGGGTTTTTCATGTGTCTGCATTGGGTACTTTTACCTAAATAAAATAATCTGGGATTGGAAATGTGTAACTGCAAGGACAGGACAGCAGTGCCCAGGCATCAGCCGCCCTGTGAAGCATCTCCCCGCACACCGAGGGATTCCCACTTGGGCCACCCCACTGCCGGGCTGTTTCAGAGGCAAGAGCACGCCTGGGCTGTGCTTGGTGAAACAAAATGGGTCGTTGTTACCAGGGAGAAGGGAAAACACAACGAAGGAAGGTGAGGAGAGCGAGAGGCCGTGGGAGAGAAGGGCTGCCGGGGGAGTACGGGGTTGTCAGGGAAGGAGGCAAGCGTGGGGTTAGGGAGCATGGCGGGCAGGGAGTGGGGCACGTCGTGGACAGGAGGAAAGGTCCCGTGAGGGGAGGAAAGCAGCTGTCTGTGACACTCACTCCGCACCATGACCGCCCCTCTCAGCTTCCCGTCGCCGCCGCCATTACAAGACGCCGCCTCGCTGCCATGGCGACGGGGCCGGGCGGGAGGCGCTGCTGTGAGGTCAGGCCCCGCCGCCCTGCGGCTCGGTCGGGTTTGTGCTCTGTGTGTGCCCGCTGAGGCACTGCTCTGCCTGCCATGAAGTAAGACGGCTTCGCTACGGCGCTTTGACTGCTCCTGACCCCGTGGGCACTCATGCACGAAAGGCCTCCTCCTCACTTAGCTGTGTTTATGACTCAGGGCTCAACTACGCAGGAAGTCAGAAAGCCGAACTTTGAAGCAGGCATTAGTCCTAACCCAGTGGTCTGGAGCCCATGGGGCAAAGCTAGATGCTGAAGTAGAATAATCGCGCTGGCTCCTTGTCCTTAAAACTGCAGGCTCTTCAGGATGAGGTTTATAATCCATGACCTTGATTTTACTGGGACTGATGACACGGTGACAAAGTGTAGCATGCCACCCTTGACCAGGCAGGGTGTTGTGCTAAGACCCTTGGATGCTCCAGATCCAAGACTGTCACCATGATGAGGCTGTGCTGTCTTGTTCCAAACTTCCACTATCCTCAATTCAAAGTCTAAGAGGTCTGCCTGATTGTCTTGTTGCCCTTGAGACACAATGAGCTCCTGATCTCTGACACAGGTACAGAAACAATGTCCTTTTGAGATTCATTTTTCCACATAAGAATTGAGATAAGCCCAGATGTTTTTAGTTTCAGCAGTGTTTTGGATTTTACAGTGTCAGAAGAATTTTCTGTGTAAAATGTGAAAGAATGGTAATTCATAAATCCAGCACACACACACGTGCTTTCAGCATGAAGGCCTATGTGCCTTAAAATGTTTTATGTCTCAAAATGTTTCACTGAACAAAATATTTGAAGCTGCGCAACATCAGCACAATAGACATACACAAAACTTGGTGTGATTCACACTCATGGTGTTGCACAACTTCTCAGGAAAATTTTGCATTCATTTATTTTCAACTTAAACACAAATTTGACATTTGCATGCATTGACCTTGTGTTCATTATTTTCATGCAGTTGCTCTTCAGTCACCCTATGACTACGAGCTTTAAGCAGCACAAGCTCAAGTTCTTGGCATGAAGCAATGTACATTACAGAGGTAATGTAAAGAGCCACATCACAGTCAGGAGGATGGAGTGACATAGAAGACAAAGGGTACCATCCGGCATGCCCTCCCTGAAGGAATTCACTGCACCGCTTTAATACAAGTTTATTTGTTAAATGTGTAAAACAATGCAATAAAATATATTCGTCATGACAAAAATAAGCTTTATAGCATTATTATTACAGTGCGTCAGAAGTACTTTGAGTATGTACTCACTCCATCAGTACATACTCATATAAGGTGCTAAAGACCCAGGAAATTGATATAGAAGGATAAACCTTAGCTATAAAATTGCTTTAGGTCAGAGTCTTGTCTGGTGGAAAGTAACTGACTTGATGCACACTGAGAATCTGAACCTGTGTCTTTCTATTTCCTATTAAAGAATTATTATTGGTTTGTTGTTGTTATTGTTAAGAGTATTATTATTATTACTATTATTACATTCTATGGTAGTAATAGTTACTTTGTAATAAAACAAGGCTTTCATATTCACACCAAAGTACCAATAAATCTTCTCCCAAACAGTACATAACCTACAAGGCAGGACATTAACTCATGAATAACAAATTAATTGAAATATATGCAATTGCTAATAATAGTCTTCATTATTAACACCCTCAAACACAGGAAGAACTCAAACAGAAACAACTTTACTGCTAGGTAAATACCAAAGATAAGCAGCATGAGAAACA